AAGAGGAATTAAAATTAGCATACTATCAGAGCGAGCATCTTTATACTCATGTTTATTGTGTCACAATTCACAACAGCCAAGACATGGAATCAACTTAGTGCCATCAACTGATGGATGGATAAAGAAAATGTGGTATGTGTATGCAATGGAATATTATTTAGCCATAAAGAAGAATAAGATTTTGTCATTTGCAGAAAAATAGATGGATCTGGAGATCATCATGTTGAGCAAAATAAACCAGACTCAGACAAATATTGCATGACTTTCCTAATATGTTAAATCTAAAAAAGAAGAACAGAAAGTAGAAGGGGGACTATTATTAGATAAGTGGAAAGGCATAAGAGGGAGAGAGAGGGGTGTAAGGAAAGGCAAGAGGGGAGTGCTTTGATCAAAATATAGTGTATGCACTGAAACCCCCCAAAAGTGTGAAAGTAGGGGGGAAGGTGGGCAAGGATAGTACAGGGAGTAAAATTATCAGTGTATGTTATGTACATGTACAAATCTGCCAAAATGAAATCCATTAATCTGTATAACTGACACAAACTAATAAAAAAGATGTGAAACAAAAACAATAAATAAAAATAAAAACCCAAGTTACAAATACCAAAAGAATAAAAAGACTATTCTTTATTATTATTGGTAATCTCTGGGCTTTTTTGAAGCCTAACTTAAACAAACCATTATCATTTTTATTTTTCTTTTTTCTACAGTGGATTGAACCCAAGGCATTTGTATGAAGCTACACTCCCATCCTCATTTGTTGTTTGTTTTTTGAGATTGGAGGGTCCCTAAACTGCCCAATCACCTGGCTGCTGCAGCTGCCCTTGGCTCAGGTACAGAACCTGGCGGTGACAGCTGTGTGTGCCTGAGGGCTGGCCTCTGCTTCCCCTGCACCAGCCCAGAGGCAGGCTTTTCTCCTGACCTTCAGAACCCGAAATGACTTCCCCAAGGGAAGTCTCCTAACACTCCCTCAGGTCCCCTACCATGAGGGGTCCATACAGCCATGCCCTCTGTGTCTCTGTAATCATACTCACTGGGCCATGTAGTACTCACTCCTCTTCCTTCTTATCTCTCTCCCCAGACCATAAGGCCCTCGGATTAGTCTGCAGCGGCTGCCATAACGAATTACCAGGCTGGCCTATTCCCTCGCAGTGGTGGAGGGTAGAAGTCCCAGATCCAGTTGCTGATAGGATTGGTTTCTCTTCCACTTGTAGATGGCTGTTTCCCCTCTGTGCATATCTGTGTCCTAATCTCCTCTTCTTACACAGACACTGGTCAGATTGGATTAGAGCCCACACCCAAGGCCTTATTTTACTTTAATTACCTCTTTAAAGGTCCTGTCTCTAAATACAGTCACATTCTGAGGAACGAGCACAGTGTACTATGAGTCATTTATCCCCAGCACTCAGGACCATATTTGACATACAGCCCTTTTTTTTTTTCCTTTTTTTTGGAAGGAGGAAAAGAGGGAAAGATGAGTAAGAACACAGGTGGGAGGAAAGGTGCAGGGTCAGTATCCGAGCAAAGGTGTGGAAGAGTGGGCCTGACTCGGTGAGGGAGGCAGAGACTGGCGGGAGCAGGGCAAAATGCACCTTTTCACTGAGTAAACACCAAGTAGTTTCCCTGCTATGAAAAACTGAAAGTGTAAATAAGGTTCCAATCCTATCATTAATAGTGTGAAATAGGAAGAAAATGGCTAAAGGGGAAGTGGGAAGGGGAGGGGAAGGAAATAAGGGAAAAGAAAAAAATGTGAAAAAAAGGGAAACAATGGAAACAAAGTCTTTGAAAATAGGTGAATGGGGAAAAATCAAGAACCAAGAAATATCATGTAAAGGTACAAGATCCCAATGATGAATGTAACTATATTGTTTGCTTTAAATGGACCAATAAACTTAATGGGGGAAAATGCGCATTTTGGATCACCAGGAGAAATGAAGTTCTAGCCAAGGCCAAGCCCAGTTCTGAGAGCCCTGAGTGCCCTGCAGGGGTGAGGAATTTACCCTGCAGGCTACCCTCCCTTAGAGGAACAACTTTCAGAACACTTGAATGTTAGCAAAACTTTGGGCTGTGGAGAGCTTCATAGACATGCAATTTTTATTAAGCACTGCAGAAAAGTATGCATGGGGGGTGACCGATCAGAGGTCGGTCTTCGTAATGATGTAGCATTAGATAACAGGACCGTTAAGCCCTCCCTCATTTAAGAAGTTGGGGCCTTTTATGACTTCATCAATTTTTAGAACTGGCGAGGAGTCATGACCCTTCTTTAGAGTCAGCAAGTGGCTCTCTCCTTTGGTTGTTTTGAATTTTTGTGGTTACTGAGTCCCAATCACACCGTATGGACCTGTGTTTATCAAAGATTCCCTGATGGTAATTCAAAATGATTCAGAGACATGTGAACGGGGTTTGGGATAACACAAGAATGACCCAGAACTGCTTAAGCAAAAAGAGTTCTAGCATCAAGTAACGGGCTGGCCTCAGGCACACCTGGAGACTGCCGTCCTCCGAGTCCACCTCCCAGTTTTCTCAGGATGGCTGGCTGGAGAAAATTCACAACCTGAGCAGCTACCTCCATAATTTCCTCCAAAGAGGAAGGAGGATTCTTTCTCACCAAACCAACTAGAAAATTCTAGGGAACACTCTGACTAGATCATTTAATAACTTCTCCCCCAGAGATGTTAATGGCGGACCTGGGAAGGAGAAAATCCAACTAAAAAGGGGGTCACTAATCAAGGATGCTAAGACCATAAATGCCTCTTTGGGGCCCTCAAAGAAATTGTTTTTGTTCTAAGCATTTTGAGGCTATATGTTTGGCCCTGGTGGCTTTATTGTCACTGAATTTTCCTGGATGGTCCTAATTTTATTTAATGTAATTTTTTTCCAATAAAGAAAATAATCGATTAAGTGTATAGCTTAAAATGATTTTATGATTTCACACCCACAACTTCATATGAATGAGCAAATTCACAAATCTGAAAGTCACTGGTCAAACCTTGTGCCCATGGTTTAGAAACCTAATAATTGCACTAAGTTAAAGCAAGGAAAGAAATCTCCAGACCCTCCTTCATTTGAGCTCTTTCATCTGTCCGTTCAGCCACGTGAACGAGATCCTTGTGACCTCGGCTTCTGTTTGTTGACTCTCCGGGTCTGGGATACTATTGACCTGCCAACCATGGGTGAAAAATGTGCTTGCTTAACGACTGAGAAATGATGTTTTCCACGTTAGACTCTTGTGGAGTTACAGAGTTGCTGGCTACCTGATAAGCATCATTCCAACTTTCTCCGGATGAAAGTCTTGAGATTGTAAGGGCAGGAATTTGGCATGAAGGGGAATCATAATTCCCCCTCTTCTGGCCTCAGACTCCAGGTTCTCTCTGGTGGTCCGTGGCAGAGGGACAGCTGAAGGAAGAGCAGCAGGGCCAGAAACCAGGGAGGAGGTAGGTAAATGCAGGTAGGAGAAAATCTACACCTGGGTTAGAAGGTAGCGATGAGCCTGCAAAGAAGAGAGAAGTCTGAAAAACACTGTGGAGCAAGGGTCAGTAAACCTGGTGACTAAATGGACATACGCAGAGAAGAGGAGACACCAAAGACAGCTCACTGACTTCTCGCCAGCAAAACAGGCAGAGGAAATGCTCTGCCATTTATAGAAAGGGGAAGTTAGGCAGCAGATCACAGGCTGATAATTACAGACACATGCAGACTGAAAGAGGTGCAAAACCATCTCCAAGGGGTTGGAAACCCAGAGCCACTTTTAGTTTCTGTTCAGGAAAGGAAGTACAGGCAGGTTAAAACCCCAAAGTTCAGACACTCCGTGACCCTGGATCAAGACCAGCCCAGTTTTTCTCAGCCTTTTGGCCAAGACCAAGTGCAAAACCTGGCCCAGTGAGGAGTCAGCGTGCAAGAGGAGCCACACAAGTCAGTCACAGAAAGGACCCCTGGTTCTCTCACATACTCAGTGTGCTTTCAGGGCCGTGCGGAAATGCTGAGACTATTTTCTTTTTGAAAACTTGAAAAGTGGAGACATTTTTTAATGGAGGAAGAATCACATATGAATTCCCACGGCCCCATCACTCACTCTCAACGATTGTCAGACCGTGGCCTTGTTACACCCAACCCTCACCTACTTCTGCATTATTACTGTGAAGCAAATTCCAGGCACTGTAACTTGTACCATAGACATTTCAGTGTGTTCAAAGATATGGACTCTTTTTAAAAACCCACTATACCTTTTAGAAAATTAACAGTGATTTCTTATATGATCAATATCAAGTCATTTAAATTTTCATTTAAAAAATGTTTAGCCAGGCGTGGTGACCCACACCTGTAATCCCAGCACTGGGGAGGCTGAGGCAGGAGGATCGCTGTGAGTTCGAAACCAGCCTGGGCTACATAGTGAGTTCCAGGTCAGTCTCAACTACATTGTGAGACCCTGTCTCAAAAAAAGAAAAAAAAATTGTTTGAATTAGGAGTCACTTGGCAGGTAAGTTTTTATCTCAGGGGATTTCCTCCCTCTCCCTTCCTGCTGTTTGCTACACCCTGTTCTTCCCATACTCTGCGTCTTGCTGACTGGTCACCTTGGTAGCTCTAATATGTCCTATCATCTGGAAGCTGCAATCAGCTTCAGACCCATTTTGGTTTTAAATGATATGCAAAAGGATGGCATGAAGGCGTTAGAAGGAGCTAGAGCAAGGGACGGGAAGTAGCAGGAAATCGGGTAAAGTGACAAGGTCCCTAAGTCAGACCCGAGGGAAGGGGACAGTGAAGGCAGACAGAGAAGCTGGGAGAGCGGGAGGTCAGTTAGGGCGAGGCTGCGGACCCTGTGGTCCCCGAGCGAGCGGAAGGCGCCACTCACCAGTCTCACCTGCTGAGAAAACCCAGCGGGGCGTCGCCTCGGTCTCCGGCGGATTCCTGCAGCCAGGGAGGGAAACCCGGCGGAAATCCGCTCCGGCTCCCTCAGCGCGGACACGCTGCCCGGCCTGCGCAGTCCAGGACGCAGAGGCAGGAGCGTCGGGGCGCGGTCCACCCGGGAGACCCTCGGCCGCGTGGGGGGACCAGGGCGGCTCGAGCTCGGAGGGTCCTCCGGCCTTCTCCACGCCCGCCCTCCCCGCAGTCCCCGCAGCTGCCTCCGCGGTGACAACCTGGCCCGGGCTCCTGCCATCCTGGTGCAGGGCTCCTGCTCCCAGCACCGGGGAGACCCTGATGGCAGCTACATCCCCTCCCTGCTCGTCCGGGCTCTACTCCACATCGCGCAGGGTGCTTGCTGCCAGCGAGGATGTGCGCAGTTCCTAACACTCTGGCCTTCACAGATGTCCTGAACTCCTACCCGACGGGGTCCCAGAGGGTCCTGAAACTGAGATAAGGAACTTAACCCACCCTTCTTGGAGAGTAAGTTAAGAATTTTCAGGACTAGGCAGTAAGGGGCATGGGAAGGGTTTTGTTAGGCAGACGTTAAAAGTCCGCACTCGAAGAAAAGAGTGTAGGCCCTTAAGAGAGATTGGAAGGAAAGGAGCCCAAATTTAACCAAGGGAATGCTGATATGGGTTGCCTTGGGTAACTGACTGGGGCCCAGAGTTGTAGTCTTAAAAGTATAATTTGTAATTATGATTCTCTTATCTCCTGTCTCCCTGTCCTTTATTTTTTATCCTACCTCAGCTCCAGCAGGAAAAAGCAGGGGGTTGCACCACCACACAGATAGGCCAGGCCTCCAGTGGGTACAGCAGGCCAGCCTGGGCCATGCGTGACCAGGCCATGAGTGACCGGACCAGGCGTGACCCTGCGATGCTTCTGGGGCTTTGTCCCACTTCAGTGCAGAGGCAGGAGCTGCTCTCTCTGCCTTGGAGAGTCCTAGGAGAGTCCCAGCGCAAGAGTGTGGCTTCAGACTGAAATGCTGATCAGGACTTCGGAGCCCTAACAGGAAACCTGGGAACCCTGCTCCCCTTCCCCAGGCAGCCCCAACTGTAAGCAAGCTGCAGCCACTGCTCTGGCTTGACAGGGAAGGCCTGTGTTACAGGGTAATTAAGACAAGTACCACAATGTGTAGACTAGTGTAAAGGTAGCACAGCCTCGATCCTGGAGAGTGAGGCTCCTAGGGAATGGGCCCGCGCCTAGGCTCAGACAGGGGTAGGGAGGGCTGTGATGGGGGCAGCTGCCCTGGGCACCCCTAGGTTGGACAGCCCAGCAGGAAGGCCCTGGGGCTTAGATGCTCAGGATAGGGGAGGCAGGAGATAAGGAGAGAAAGGAACCTAAGAGACAGGCATGGTGCTGGTACTGAGATACATGCAGAGATTAACTTCTGAGAAGGAGGAGGTTAAAAATGATCAAAGCTGGAAAAAAAAAAAAAAGATCAAAGCTGGACCAGCATCCTTTGACCCTCTCTTTAAGATAACTACTCCTCTCTCCCTGAGATAACACCAGTCTGTGCAGAGAGAATGGAGGGTTAAAGGGATGGATGTGAAGAGCAGGAAAAAATAAAATAAAACAAAATGTGTCCCAGGTCCCCAAACTCCTACCAGTGCAATTCATGTCCTCATCCAAGGCCCCTAGTAAAACAACTCCAAACAAGTGAAGATGCCGCTGATTCTGAGATGCCCTGGGGTTGCTTGCTAGAGCTGAGCTGGGGAAGTGAGATGACTTCAGCCCTTTGCCATCAAATGTCCCACAAGCCACTTAGCCAATAGCTCTTACAGTGGGAGGAACACGTCTCCACCACCATGCACATTCTTACCTCCTGGAGAACTCTGCCAAGCATGGAGGTATCTGAGGTATTTGTAAATACCTGAGCATTGCTGGGATGCACGTTCTTGTGCCTGTGCAAAGATTGCTAGGCTCAACCCAGGTGAGTGTTGACCTCCTAAATCCCACTGCAGTCCCTGGAGCCCCTAGGACATCCCTGTGATGGTTAGCAAGTCCGCCAGGACACTGGCTAATGACACTGTGCTCGTGCTGCCTTATACTTTAAATAACCATCCGTGGGAGCTAGCTGTGGTGGTACAGGCTGTAACCACAACACTGGAAAGCTGAGGCAGGAAGATTGCAAGTTCAAGCCTAGCCTGAGCAATTTAGCAAAACCCTATCCCCAAGTAAAAAAGACTGGGGAAGTAGCTCAGTGTGAAGGCCCTGGGTTCAATCCTCAGATGGATGAACGAAGGAATGAAGGAACATATCTCTGGATCTAGAGGTGTAGCTCAGAGTAGAGCACAGGCTTAGCATGCACTAGGCCCTGGGTTCGGTGCCCAGCAATAATAAAATAAGATTCCAATACAGAACTAGCATATGTAAGACTAGTTTTAAGGAGGGTGAGATCAGCTTCTACATCACTGGTATTTCTGTTGTAGAAACTTTTTACTGTTTGTTGGTTTTCTAAAATTTGTTTTGTCCCTCTGACTTAGATAAAAAAGGGAAGGTGACTAGAGGGAGAGAAAATGGGAGGAGATCGTGAGAGATCTTCAAAACCACCAACCCAAGAAAAAGGAGGAATGTGGGACCAGAAGGGTTTTGTTTTAATTGCAGTTGAGTTACACAGCCAGAAGCCATGAAAGTAATTATGGCACCAGAAATTCTCTGCCCAGCTTGTAGTTGTTGATACATTTTAATCCTTATGTGTGACATTAACAGTTTTAGTGTATATTCATTATCTGCCATCTGGCCTACTTACTTCAAATACAGCTTCCAAATTTGTGAATTTTTACATGATTTGGCTCTGTTTGTGTATATCTTTTTAATTTCATAATCTAAAGTGGAGAGAAACTCAGCGTTCATTTTTAGAGGGTCATCCTCTGAAGATGAGAGATAGATTTAATAACCTGAAATCATGAAGGTATTCAGGATGGAAAATATTCAAACCTTAAAATCAACAAGATTATAATAGATGAAATCTAATGACCTGACTTTCTCTGAACATGATGAAAATGTGTTAACAGATTAAAATGGAAAAACTCATGTAGGGCTAAGCACCAGCAGTATTCTCAGCAGTTTATAGGAATTAACTCATTTCATCTTCATGAGAATGCTGGGAGTTAGCCCATTTTACAGATGAGAAAGTTGAGTCACAGAGAGATTAAATACTTTTCTAACAGCCAATCACTAAGAAGTAAGAGTGGCAGGTGAGCCCAAGCTGCCTGGTTCTATATGCTATTGTACCTTTCAAAAAAAGAGAGGCCTTCACCTTGGGACACAGCGGTACTAAGGACCCTGCGTGGAGCTGAGTCCCTCCCTGGACACACAGTTCTCAAGTTAAGTCTCCCCGGGGACACGAACAGCTCAGTTGATCTACAGCGGGATAGGTTTCAACTTCAGTGTGGAACACTGAGGACATTTAAAACTGTTCTCAGTGGTAGTAAAGTGAAAGTCTTAGAAAAAAATTAATATTTTGGTTTTTTAATTCAGCAGAAATTTTCAGCTCCACAGCAGCTATGTGGAGGTGCTGCCTTAAAGAAAACGATCATGAGACCCCAGCACAAGGAGGTGCCAGTAGCTCTACAGCGACAACTCTTCTCCTCAGTCGTTTTGGAGCCTGAGAGCTAACAGAGCATAGGCAAGGATACCAGTCTAACACCACCGCCGGGACGCTGGGTGTTCCGTGGCTGATTGATTCGCTGTTGCTTGTTTTCTGTCTTCCACTAGAATATTAGCTCCACGCAGAGAGCCCCCTCCTTTGCCGAGTCCAACGCTACAGAGCAGTGCATGCTACCCAGCAGGTGCTCAGAAAATGAACAGTGCCAGAATGCGTTTACCTTGTTGAGGCTGTATGCAAATAAGAATGTGGAGCATCATGAAGGCCAAAAGTCAGGACATGGTGGGCAATGCTAGGAAATGCTTCAGAGAATCTTGGGTGAGAACTGGGATCTGGGCATGGTACCACACACTATAATCATCTCAGCAACCTGGGAGGCTGAGGCAGGAGGATCCCAACCAAGTTCAAAGCCATCCTGGACAACCTAGCAAGAACCTATCTCTAAATAAATAAAAATAAAAATTAGCAAGGGTCTGTCTCAAAATAACTAAAAATAAAAGGCCTGGGGGTGTAGCTCAATGGTAGAGTGCTTGCCTAAGTCCCCAGCACTGCAAAAAACAAAAAAATCAAACTGAATTTGGTCTTTAAGGCAGCTGCTGAGGAGACATTGCAGTGGAAACCCATTTGCACAGGAATTAAGCAGTAATTACGACACCAACAGCAAGTCCGGCGGTGAATGGAAGGCAGGACTTGACAGCTTTGGGCACTGGCCTGCAGAATGCAAGGACACTGTTAATTCAGTACAACAGGGTCATACTGTCGCACTGTGGCTGCCTCAATCGGAAGCTCTCTCTCACTCATCCTTTGTCCTAAGAGAGCAAAAGGGGCCTTGCATCTCATAAGTGCCCAGTGGTGTTTCTGAGAGCTCAGGCTTGGGGAAAATTACTTAATCACCTAAATTTCTTCACTTGGAAACTGAGGATTCACTAACATCTGGAAGCTCTTAATCACGTGCCAAATGCTGACCAGTGGGGGACACAGCGCGCCCAGTGGTAGGCGGTTCCAGGCTCTCCGTACAATTCCCCGAAACAGGAAGGTGACCGATCCTGTGTGTCCAGGCAGATGAAGCAGGGATGTCTTTTGCCCTCTCCTCCAAGTACCACCCAATTCCCTGGACCTTACACTGAAGAAAGGAGGGCAGAAGGCAGGCCGGCTGGGCACTTTAGGGTCTGCTGTATCAAGGTGTGTATATCTAGATGCCCCCCAACTGTGAGCGGAAATAAACCTCTCCTCCTTTAGTAGTGGGTGCTAGGTGTTGTGTCCAAGACAGGATCCATAGAACAAGCTGGTGACGAGCTCTCTGGGTTTTCTTGCGGCCTTCTAGATCCCACACGTGGTCTGAAGAAGCTGGAAACTCAGAAACACCAAACGGAGCAACTCACAGCTCTGCACAACCCGTTTTTTCTAGTTACTAAGGGTTGTCCCCTGAAGATTTGTGTGCGGGAGGCGTGGTGCCGCCCTGGTGGCTTTGGGTGGTGGGGCGGGGGCTCCGCCCTCTGGACGGGTCGAGGCCACCTCTTGGAGCAGGACTGCTTTAGCTCCTGCAGAAGCAGATTGTCACGGGAGCGCAAGCGTGGCCTCTCCCCACTTTCTCGCTTCCTCTGGGCCATGTGAGTTCTCTTACTCAGGCGCCCACCGTGACACATCCACCACACGACGGTGAAGCCTGGGGGCCCTCACCAGATGCTGCCCTCCTGACTTGCCCTTGTGACTCCCCAGCCACCAGAATCATGAACCAAGTGAGCTTTTCTTTATACAGTACCTTTTGTTACAGCAACACCTAAGACGCAGTACCAAGGGACCAGAGGGGCAGCAGAACAAAGCCAAAAAAAAAAAAAGTCTTTTCACAGTGACTACAGATAGAGCACAGATATAACTGCCACACCAGCCCTGGCCTCCGCCTCCACCAGTGTGATCTTAGAGAAGGCCACTGGGAGCTTGGCCTTGTCACCAGCAGACAGTAAGAAGGGTCCTGCCCCATGGTGTCGGTGCAGTCCCTCCCTGCTGGGTGGGGTCACAGGGGACCTAGTGGTGCTGGACTTTGACCACTGCCCACACCACAGTGAGGTCACACAGCGAGTGGTCACAGGCACCCCTAACTTTCCTGGCCAGGGTGGGGCCCAGCAGAAGCTAAGAGCCCCAAGGTAAAGCTGGGCTTCTGCTCCTCTATGTCCTTGAGACTGGCACTAGGATCAGGGGGACCTTGTGCGGGGAGAAGTCTCACGGACAGGCAGCAGCTCCATCCACATTAAATGAATCCTGAAAATTTACCTGAATGAATATTAATTTAGAAGGAGCTAAGTTATTAGTTTGTCTCAGTCTTTGGTTAAGCCCTGGGCCATGTACACTGCTTCTCTCTGATATGACTCATGTCTGAGGTGACCCAACTCAACCAACTCAAAAGCCTTTTTTTTTTTTTTTTTTTTTTTGGTTAAACTGGGGTCAGTGGCACAAGGGCTCATAAATATTTTAGCTAGGCATGGTAGTGCATGCCTGTAATCCCAGTTACTGGGGAGGCTGAAGCAGGAAGATTCCTAGTTTGAGCCTAGCCTGAGCTATTCAGCAAGAACCTGTCTCAAAATAAACTTAGGACTTGGGAGGTAGTTCAGTGTTCCCTGGGTTAAAAGGGCAGGGGGTAGCTTTCTTCAACACGAAATAAAAACAGAACAGTCAAGATGATTTAAAGCTGTGTAATGTCATTTTTGCTCATACGTATGGACTTGCAGTGTGATTTACAAAGATCTCTAGTTTACCCTCTCTGCTCTTCTGCTGGCTTTTTCAGAGACGGAGGGAAGGACAGAGGGAGGGAAGGAGGAATGGGGAAGAGAGAGAAAGAGAATGAGAAAATAAGCTTTGTTTTTCTTATTCTAGTAAAAGACAGTGAAAGCTACAAGACTGAAATTTGATTTCTCTGCGCTCTATGCTACCCTACTTCAGACAGAGTAATTTTTAAAAACCTGAGGGCTGGGGACTTAGCTCAGTGGTTCCACTGACTGCTTTGCAAGCGCAATGGCCTGAGTTTGATCCCCAGTACAAAACAAAACAAAACAAAAACGAAAAACAGACTTCTAAAAATAAACAAGAGAGTGACTACTCACAAAGTATTTTTTCCAAAAGTATTTATTTATTTTTAATTAATTTATATTTTTTTGGTACAGGGGATTGAACTCAGGACCTTAGGCAGGCAGTAATGGAACCACTGAGCTAAATCCCCGGCCCCCAAAAAGTATTTTTAGTAGAAAGGCTTTAACAGAAAGTTTCTTTAAAAGGTGACCTCCAGTTTCTGAAAATACCTTTCAGATCCAAATACACCTGGAAACTGAACCTATGCTTGGCTTTTCAACTCTCACGGCCTTGGCAGCCATCTGTGGCCCCACGCCTCATGCTTTGCCTCAGACTAACTCCACGCAGATTCAAATGCAGGAAAATAAAAACATGAAAGTATTAAAGGAAATTGTAGGAAGAAAGTTTGTTTTTTTCAAGATCTTGAAGTAGAGAAAGAATTAAACCAATGGATAAACAAATGGCTTTTAAATATATAAAACGATGCTCCCACCATCCACACGAGAGACAGCCTAAACGGTCATAAGCAGTGGCAGAAAAGGCATAAATCTTGCACCCCTCTCCGCCCAGGCACTCCCTGTGAATGCCACCGACGGTTACGTCAGCTCTCCAGAGAACAGCGCACGGGAGATGGCTTCAACACTTCATTTGGTAACTAAAGGAAAGGCCAACCTTGTAAGGCTGGAGCCCTCAAGTTCATCTGGATTATGACTGCAAAATAAGAGAGAACGTATTAAAATGATCTTCTGTAGAATAAAAATATTAAGTAATTTTTCTAATGTACCCCTTTTTTACAGTGTATTGTGAGCTATGATGCAGATTAGAAACAACGCATCGAACCTGCCATTGTTGTACGAGAAGAACTGGACGGACAGAGACAAAAATGTTAATGGTGGTTCTCTTTCCTCATGAAAATTGTATGTGATTTTTAAAATAATTAACCTCTACACCTTTGTATTTTCTCCCCAAGATTTCTACAATGAGACAGATGAGTTGCTTGTAAAGACAAATATATTAATTATTTTACAATACCAAAGAGTATATTATATACAGCCCCCAAAGCAAGTCTTAGGCCTATTTCTAATGACCACACTGAATAGCTTATAAGAAAAGGGTAGAGGCAGTATTTACGTTAAGTGAGAAATTTCTCAACTTATGAATCAAATTAGAAAATTAACATTATATAAAACTGCAGCAGAAAGAAAAAATATGTAGACTATAGTGAAATAGCTTCTCAAATAGTTAATGCTGGATTCCTAAAGAATTCTGGTAGCACCCATAAAAGAGATCTTGTGGTTTTGAAAGCTCTTGAACTTGTTCACTGAAAAATTCATTATGTAGTACCATGTTTAAAGACACAGGATATTATTATATAACTAACCAGCTGGGAAGATTAATCATGATTAAAAAATAAAAGGGAAAACACAGTACGTCAAAGCAACACTGTTTAATGAGGAAAGGAAAATAATATTCATGCAGGGGAATAAAGAATCCACCCACAGACTTAGCAAATAACCATGAGGACACTATCTTATATCTGATTCAAAGGCTTTACTAACCCAAATACACATTTACAATTACAATTATTTAAAAATAATTTAAATACCCATGAGCAGATCACAAATACGTTAGGAGTCATCTGAGTACTTACCTGGTGTCATCCCTAACGTCCAAACGCCATAATGTGATGTGATTTCCCTCTCCAGCCCCACCTTTCCCTCCGTCCTGCTTCCCAGTTGTACCAGTGACTTAGCTTCTTGGGTGCCCTATACCTTCCCCAGCTAGCACGTCTTGGACGCACACTTCCAGTTCATCCTTCGCCTGTTAGTCCCAGCCCCAGTGAACAGATTCGGAGAGTCGCACTGTGCCACATTTGTTCAGACCACCAGCATTTTTGGAGCACGCTGAGGATCTATGGTACATTCTGGGGATTCTGTCTCGCCATCAAGGAAACTTGGGTGAGGGTGAGAGAAAGGTGTAAACAATAATTAAAATATAGTAGCATTTCGGAAGAAAGCATGGCTGCTCTTTCTGAAGCCAGCCTCAAGCTGTACATCACTTGTAATTAATCCACTAGCCAGCAATTCTCTGTAGTCAATGGCGGCCCACTCAAGGGTTTACAGAGTGAGCAGGGAACGTGAACGTCTGAATGGGACTGGGCATGAGGCAGGAACTCATGCTAGGACCAGCAGCCAATGGGAGAGCATGTGTCCTGTCTAAAAGCATTCGAGTTCTTTTCAAATGTCATGCCTGCAAAATAAAGTATGTCGCAGGCCTAATCTGGTTCAGGCTGCTGGGCTGTCACTTCTGTATAAATGTGTTCATGGTATTTGTTATTTATGAGATGTAGGTTATTATTCAAATTACTTTACATGTCTGACCGTATTTGTTCTTCACAAATACTGAGGCTGACACGATTTTATGTATTTTATAAACTTGCTGAGGTTACACGTGGGCAGGAGGGCAGGAAGGCAGGGCAGGTACTAAACCAGGCAGTCAGTCTCCTCCAGAATCCACTCTCTAGGGCAGTGTTTTACATCACTATACTCTATTGCTCTGCATTTAAACTCTTTTCAATGTCTTTCAGCTTTTACTAAAGTATATCACACATTTAATAGTCTATTGGGGGCTGGGGATTTAGCTCAGTGGTTCCACCGCCAGTTTCAAAAAAAAAAGTCTATTGTGCTACTATTCCTTTTTGCTGTTGAACAAATTCTTTTTAACTGGTATGTATGTATCTATCTATTCACTGTTCTATAAATATAGTCATATTCCCCATCTACCACCACTTTTCTCACTTGAAGGGTCTTTTTTTTTTTGTACCAGGGATCAAACTCAGGACCTTGTGCTTGTAAGGCAGGGACATTGCCACTGAGCTAAATCCCCAGCTCATGAAGGGTCTCAATTTTTCAGATATAATTTTACAGTTATCCAAGAAATGCACATTCCCTAAAGGAGAAAGCAGATAGAGTGTCCACATTATTTTAATGTATTCAGCCCTCGTCTGCTCTTCCCTCCTTCTGACCCATTTCCAGTAGCCTCCTCAGCTCTGGGTGTATGTGGTTTCTTGCTCTGTTCTCCTTACAGAAAGAAACAGTAGGATAATATTTTGTTTCACTTTATTTTCAATAACCATCTGCATAATGTTTACAACTCTGTGGATCTTTCTGTGGAAGCAATTAGGTCAGCCTCTTCACAGAGATCCAATTTGTACCACCTAAAACAAACGCAAGCAAGGGCACATAAGGATTCGCTGAAATGGGCAAAATACAAACTCCCCAGTCTTTGATCTTAATTCAAAGTGGTTTCACTAGACCAGAGGATGTGGCCACTTTTTATTCACAAGCTTTCTTTAGAACGCTGGAGGTTACATTCTGTTCTTTGTATATCCTGCTCCTTTGGCCAGGACCTCCCCACAAGAAAGCCCACACTCTCCAAGCCCAGGCTCCTACCCAACTTTCCTGATGCATTCACAAGCTGCCTCCTCTGGGAAACCTTCTCTGACTGCCAAGGCAGGTAAGTGCCTTGTATACACTCAGTAGCCAACACTCGAGACCCTTTTCAACCTCCTATTTCTCTCTCATCTAATTTGTACTTGGAATTTATGTAGTAATTACTTTTTAACCTAATCTATACCTGAAATTTATGCAGTAATATTTATTTGTGAAAAAAGTCATGCCCTTGAGCTTTTACACTTGGCACTTTATATTACAAGTCTCAAGAATGGTAAAAATAATGGGCTTTGGCCTGCAGCTCCAGTACTAGTGCTGTGTGACCTTGAACTTAGTATCTCTGAGATAGTTTCATCAGTTGGAAGATAAAGACTTACTTCACTGCAAGGAAAAAAACACAGAAATGCAAATTACACCACCTGTCCAAGCTCACGTTCAGTAGGTGTTATCTACTATTACATTTCTCAACAATTATTTAATTTCATCTAAAAGAAAGGCTTAAACAAAAAGAGACAAAGAATGCTGCCAATGATGAAGAACTGCCCATGCCAGGCATGGTAGCATATCCCTGTAATCCCCACTACTGGAGAGGATGAGGCAGCAGGATAGCAAGTTCAATGCTAACCTGGGCAACTTAGTGAGAACTTGTCTCAAAATAAAATTTAAAACGGTTAGGTCCATGATGCATGTAATTATTATGTGTCACAAGTATATACTACTAAAAAATGCCAAAAAGGGGAATGGTGGTAGCTGGGGGGATGTAACTCACTGTTAGTGTGCTTGTGAGCATGCACCAAAAAGCAAACAAACACTCCGTAACTTCTTTCTCAGTGATAGGCAACTTTACCTACATGTAGACTGACCTGTATTTTGTACTTAATATTTGTTACTGGTTGCTCTCTACCTATTCAGTAACAAGATGCATCTAAATATTTGAAAATTTTACCTGATGCCTTTAAAATACTAATAAAAACCTAGAGATTTAAAAATAAAAAAGAATGTTGGCACCATCTTAGGGAGTATTTTATGCCAGGAAATTAATAGGTTGGTAAATGCCCCTACTACTTCATTTTTTTTTTCTAGGAGATTGGTAAATTTAGTTCATACAAATCTCTATGCCATCGAATCTAAAATGGCTTAGAAAGTATTCTGAAATTACCTACTTAATATTAAGTTGGCTTCTGAGCCAGTAAAGAATCCAGTAATCCAGCTGAGTGTTTTAGAACCCTTCTGTTTTAAGACCCTGAGATAGGAGCCAAGATATTTAGCAGCTGATTATTGCTCAATTTAACCTGGGAAGACCAGCAGATAATGCTAACAAAGACTCTCTCAAATGAACTCTCCAACCCTAGGCCACTTAGACTCTCAAGAGGAAACATGTCCCATTTCCTTGCACGTGCCTTTGAAGATAAGTTACAAGGCTCTCTAAAGCCCCAGAACTGAACAAGAGGATGTTCTTTCAGCATCAACATCAACTAAAAGTATGCTGATATGCACAACCACATTGCACATTTGCTCAATTAAACACTGATTGATTTCTACTTGCTCTACATCAGAAGCTTGCTCTGGGCACCGAGGGATGATCTGGTGAATGAAACAATATCGTCTTGCCTTTGAAGAGCTCTCAGGTTGAATCTGCAAAAAGGTAATATTTTAAGCCATTATGAACCCACAACTTAAATATGCACAATTCATACCTGAAACCAAAGACTTCAGAGAAATGGAACGAATACACTAGAGATGCCTGAGCAGGAGACAAGACCACTAAAAGTGCAGAAAAAAAAGGGAACTGGCATAATCTTGTCCTTAAGAAGAGACTTATGCAGATTCAAAGTTTACCAATTAATCCAATATTAATAGCAATGTAAATTATTGAAATTTTTCCCAGTTGATACCCATTTTATAATTTAAAATTTCAATTACCAAAAGACTGACTTTTTTAATAGGGTTAAGATCAAGTAAGTAATACACACAAATATCATATATATGTAGGTATATCGATCATGGTGCTTATCACTGGGAAGCTTAATGCGTAATACTTTTTAAAAAGTATACCCCTTAATGGATAGTGATACAATTTTGCTAATAAAAATCACAATATAAATACACATTTTGTCAATGCAGTTTTGTTCACGATCATGAAAATGCTGCACAACAGACTGAAACAGTGGAATTCACAAGAAAGTAAAAGCTTCTGGACTGGCCAGACATAAAATCAAATTAGGAAGCCAGCTCTTACTAGCAGCTGCCTCACCTTGTTTTATCATCATGGATAAATTTTCACACAAGGTTGCAAAGATTAAATGTTAGGGATATAAAGCCCTCAACACAGTGACTGAGATTCCTCAAGGGCTAAGTTCACTCCTAATGATTCCTAAATAAGTGCACTTTCCAGCTATACTGAACACATGAGCTTCGGCTGTAAATCCCAGGGCTAACTTGGCCGGCTTTCCCTTTCCTTCCTCAAGGGGAAGTGAGGGAAAGAGGATGACATTTCCTCTACCTCCCAGGGTCTCTGAATTCTCAGAGATGGCACCGTAGCCACTGCTTGGGCTCATGGTGCCTGATGGCAGACTTTCAGGAGGGTCTCTAATTCCACAACAAATCCATACCACTTCTGTGAGCTGTGCAACACCCACCCAAGAATTCCTTTTCTCCTTCAGGAAACAGATACAGTATCTGTTGTTTCTAAACTAAAAACAACAACAAAAAAAAAAAAAAAAAAAAAAAAACAAAAAAAAACTAACTAGTATACTTTTGTAAACAAATAAACTGAAAGTAAATCAACATCCATACCAGGCAGTTATTTTAATATCTTTTCCTCCATGACTGAATATATAAAGATAAAGGAAGTAATGTATTCTTCTGCTGTAAAGATGGGTGGAATATATCAAAATCCACTCGCTGAATTTTCTTTAAATAATCCTCTAGGGAAACCTGAAAAAAGAGAATAGTAGCTACTAGATGTTAAAATGATCAAGACTTTCCAACAAACTAAAGAAAAATTACCACTATTAAGGCTATTTTGAGATAGTATTCTATCTAGTAAGAATTTAATGAGACTCAAAAAGGGAGAGGGAAAATAAAGTAACCGCCCAAGAAGTTTCTATTAGACCAACAGGAGTATCACAATGCTACTACTAAAAAGCCCAAGCCTCTTCTAACATCATGCATAACATTCCGGCCAAGACTTAAGGTCTTACAACTAGAGTCTGTGGAATAAAAACGAGATGTTTCAGCTGGGAGTGTAATCAGTGGTGGAGCACATGATTAGCACAAATGAGGACCCTGGATTCAATCCCCAGCACCAAAAAAAAAAAAAGATTTTTAATCATGGAAAAGAAAACATTCTTCCCACAAATGCAGTGTTCTGAGGAAGTTCAAGTCATCTTTTAAAAAATTATTTTGTGAAAAGTTTAATGGGTCTGCATGTTCTTTCTACAAAACATGATTTCTAACCAGGGAGAATAATCACAGGTCTCTATAAATGTCACCCCATAAATGTGACAAAGTTTTTACAGGGTAGAGGCAAGATGGAAAACACCATAGTACTATGTTTTTTTTATTTTCTGTAATTTTTTATTAATTTATAAATTTTTATTTTATTTTAATAGCTTTCCTATTAAACAAGGAAGTCAGTTTGGCACTCTGCAATTCTGAGGCACAACTCCCTTCTCAGCTCATGTGCACAGCGCCCCCTAGAGTTCCGCAGCGCAGAACCTGGGTGATCTGGTTGCAGCCTACAGATTCTTTAATACAGAGAAAGAAAACAAAAGTACTGTACTTTCTTACAGATTTTTTTATACTCAGAAAAACAAAAGTAGTACTTATTTTCTAAAAACCTAATTGTATGTGTATATACAACAGGAAATACAGTATCTACATGAAAATGCAGTGGCTTTGTTTTATATTAGCAAGTCTTGGACACAACCCAGAAATTCTTCAACAAGAAAAATAAATTGTTCATAAAATAAAATAAACTGTGGTGAAATGAAAGTATGACAACTAGGCACAATATGGAAAAATCTTAGAAACTTAAGACTATATGTGTCCTAGAAGACATAAATAGAACATTATTATAATTTCTCTATATATTTTGGAACAATGGCTTCCTAAATTGGCTACACATCAGAATGTCGTGGGAACTTTTTTTTTTTAACTTGGAAAACTTTTAAAATCACAGATTCTCCTAGGAATGGCTCTTTCCTCAATCCCAAGAATCTTATTTAGTAAGAAGGCATGAGGAATCTACGCTTTTAAAAAGATTTCAATGCACCCGGCTAAGCACGGTCTGCGATCCACTTTCTGGAGCCAGTGCTACCACACAGTGGTGTCATTATAGGGGAAAAACCTAAGAGAACAGGAAGAACTGCCTTCTTAGCACTAAGTAGCCTAACAATCCTATGAGGTGCTTTCTCATTTTATTCCCATTTTATCTGTGGGTAAACTGAGGGTCCTATGGCAAGTAAAAGGCAAAGCAGACTCAACCCACTACAGTCTGGCTTCAGAGTCGATGCAATGACAACTTTGCTCACCAACCCCTGGAAACACATGTGACTGTCATCAAAAGTATCATGTAACGAATAAAGTTCAACATAAGGGAGAGAAATAAAACCAAAGACTCCAAATGAAAGAACTGCGCTTGGGACTTCATGAAATACAGAAAGAGATTACACACATCTGCTTCACTAATTATATAGCCTTTTCTGCTAAAGTACTTACTGTTTGAAGAAAGGCAGGAAATGCTTTCACAGGAACACTTTTGTGGAAGGACCTAGCCTAAAAAGGAAAAAAAAAAAAAAAGGAAACTGGTTTGAACCATTTCACAAATAAACACTCTCCCTGTGAAAGAGAACACAAAGCAGCAACAGCAGATGAACAGTGTGACTGTGGCCTCTCCAGAAGCAAGAAAATAGCTCGAGCTGTCAGTTAACTATGACTAGTTTCCAAAGCCAAATGGACTCAGGAAAAAGTAACTAGTGTACAATACTGAAAATTCCATTCTTTCTTAAGGATTGGCGTTGGCATTTTCCAACAACCTTACACCACCTCATAACTCTGACAGTCTAAGGCTGGAATAAGGGGTAAATGAAGAGATGCCTCCCTAGTTTGGACTGGCATGACCTCCTATTTAGATGAGAAGAAGATCCTCCTGCCTCCGTGCTCCAAACCTTTAACTCATTCCATGCAGACAGGCACTGTGATGTCCTCACATTATTACTTTGTCTTTACTTTCTTTAACTTCACTCTCTGGCAGACCATCTCTCAGTCATTCATACTGGGAGTCAGAGACTCTCCTCTCTCCACACCTAGCCCAACCAACTCCCTACTACTCTGGGCTCTGAACACCGGGGGCACTCAGGCCAATGCCCACCATCCTGCATCTGCCAGGCCCGTTCTTGTCCTGTCTTTGTATCATCCCTTATGTCAAAAGAGCACATACTGCCTCTGCCTCCTGACTCGCTGCACTCTGGCTTTACCCCCACAGACTACTAAAACTGCTCAAACGTCATCCATGATTTAGTAATTATCACAGTCGTTTTTCTCTTCAATTTCTCTGCAGCATACAAAACTCTGATATTCCCTTCCTCCTTTGGTTTTTAAGATACTGACTCTCAGTTTTCCTTTTCCTTCTTCCTAAGAAATGGCTCTTTCTCTTTATACTGATCAATGGGGGTGACCCTCACGGTCCCACCCCTGGTCCTCTTATCTAGATGTTTTCCTCCTTCAGCAACCTCAGGGAGGTTCTCCGTCTACACTGAGAGCTTTAACCAGAGCTGTCTGTACGCATGACTCCCAATCTCCAGGCTTGACCTCTTTCATGTCACAACCCTTTACTCCTCATCAGCTCATTTTGCTAAATGACCTCTAATGCCCTCAGGTTCAAGTACAGTATGTCAAGCAGCCAGTCTGAAGTCCAAAGATCAGCATCAAGCACATCATTGTTTTTTCTTTCTTTCTTTCTTTCTTTTTTTTTTTTTGGTACCGGGGATTGAACTCAGGACCTTGTGCTTGCAAGGCAGGCGGTGGCACCACTGAGCTAAATCCCCGGCCCTCGTCACTGCCTTTTTATGGCATCTTTGAGTGGCACCATCATCATGTGAATTCTTTGTATAATCTTTGGCTTTCCCCCTTCCTGATTTGCCAAAATCCAATCAAGCACTTATCAAGTCTCACTGACTCTGCTTCCGTTGTGTGTATGAACACACATAAACATCTACTCTCTAAATCATACTTTTCCCCTCTCTTACGTCTCCTAAGTGATCTCCTAACCCTCACAGTCTTGTTTCCATAGTGAAGGCAGTTTCCTACCACACAACCCTAATATCACCAACCTACACCTGTAATCCCAGCATTCAGGAGGAGAAGCAGGAAGATTGTTGGGTTTTTTGTTTGTTTCTTTTGGTACCAGGGATCAAACTCAGGACATTGCACTTGCAAGGTAGGCCGTGTCACCACTGAGCTAAATCCCTGGTCCTAAGGAAGACTGCTAAGTTCAAGCCTGAGTGAGTTTAAGACCAGTGTGGACTACCTAGTGAGATCCTGTCTCAGAAACACTAATTTAGCAATAAGGAGACTACTGTATTACAGCAGGCAGAACAGAGCCAAATTAAAACAAGAGAAGCAGTAACAGGATGGGGAGGGCTTTAAGGTGATAATGAGTGCAGACCACTCATTCAACCAGTTAATCTAGGAGAGGAACAAGGGGCGAGCTCCCAGAGAGGGGGCAGGAAGCACCAGCTGAGGACATGAGGTCCTGGGAGAGCGAAGAGATGTGAGCAGCCACGGCACACACCAAGCAGAACAGCCCACCTGAGAAAGCCCAGGCATGGCAACCCAGCCACAGGTACATGCACCTGCTTAGGGAGGGAAGAGGAGGGTTTTTAGTGGGAAAAGTTTACAATAGTCCCCGAGATAAATCGCCTGGAAATCCAATGGCACCGGGCGTGATGACGCATGCCTGTAATCCAGCACTTGGGAGGCTGAGGCAGGAGGATCTCTGTGAGTTTGAGATCAGCCTGGGGTACATAGTGAGTTCCAGGGCAGTCTCAACTGCATAGCGAGACCCTGACTCAAAAAAAAAAAAAAAAAAAAAAAAAAAAAAAC